ACTCAGTGCTCGCTTTTCTGTAATACAATAACTTAATAATAAGGCATGTCAAGTAGAGGGCACTAGTCACTTAGACACATTATTTACCAATATTATTAGTTAGAAATGTTTTAAATTATCATTAAAAAATAAAAAACCAGTCAAAATTAAAAGTAATACGCACATTTTTGGTCACATATTGTCCATTAATAAAGTCCTCATCAGAGCCTAAATGAACTTGCTATAGCAACAACAGAGTCTCCTCCCATTCAAGACACATCTACAATAATAATAAAGTTATCAAAAAGAGGGAAAATCCAATTTTGATCAGAATGAGCTCAAACTATATACACAACTTGAGAACATGTATATGTATGTATGTATTGGGGAAAATTGTATACAAAGAGACTTCTCTTCTTTTCATTTTTGGAAAAATTGGTTTATGACCCTACATGAACTTTGGACCAATTTTTGAGTAAAAAAAAGGCTCCAAAACCACCCAAACTTTTTATTACATTTTCTAACACAAAATTTATTAATGTACTTTTGAAAGAAGTTTAAAGCAATTCTGACAAATATTTTTTTGGATAACTAGTATTTTTTTAAACAACTAATTTGTGATAAAAAACCACAGGCTAGATCTAGCTTATGGCTTCTTCCAAAAATTGGCTCTAAAGTCACCCCAAATTTTTTGATACATTTTGATGCCCTTATGCTATGTAGAAAGTTTGAGCTGATTCTGACAAATATTTTTTACCTTGCAACTGGTTGAATATTGAGTGCTTGAGTTTACCAACTGACCTGAGACAGACCCGTCCCAATAGCTCAATAGTCATAGACCAGACACCCAGTAAGACACACACTGCCAGAGAATGACTGGCCTCACAAGATACCACATCCTTTGATAGAACTAAGAGGAGGAGGACAGGAAGAGTACATGTACATACACTGTACATCATAAATGCAAAGAAAATTGATATACATGTACATGTACATGTACATTCTAAGTTAAAGTGAGATAAATAACAATAACAATAATAATAAGATAATTCCATTATCTAGACTCTTGAAAATAACAAGAAAATTAATGATGAAACTAAATACACAATAATTACATGTACATACTGTACATGTACAACACAGTCTCTCTCAAATGGGAGAGTTCCTTATCTATAGATGCATTGCTATACATACTGTATATACTGTACACTGTACATGTAAATCATGAACCGTATTTCCTTAAATAAAAGCCAGGGCGTCTATTTCCTAAAATGGTATTTGGACCTCGAAAAAATTTAAAAAATAAAAAAAACTTAGGCCCAGAGTGGGACTCAAACCCGTGACCACATGTACTTGACTGCAGGAACTTAAGGCAGTATCGAAAAGGCTACTGAGTTACTTCAAGGCTAGATTTGCATATTTATACTTGAATTCTATTGCTACTTCGGCATTTATTCACATGCGGCTTCTATTTAAAGATATACGGTACATGTACATGTACATGGATAATGTTCACTACTCACTGAATGATGTCCCCATTCTGTCCCTCTCTTTCATTTCCATTGACCTATTGAGTCCAATCTGTACTGGGATTGGTGCTAACATCAAGTAGTGAGTCTGAGGGGGGCGGGGCACTGGTCTGTGGCCACACCTTCAGTATCTTCTGAATACCTCTACCTACAATGTGTATACTTGTGTAAAAGATGAAGATCTGAAGGGAGAGAGAGAGAGAGAAAGGGAGGGAGAAAGGGAGAGAGGGAGGGAGGGAGAGAGGGAGGGAGAGAAAGAAAGATAAAGAGGGAAAACTGAAACTGAATGTACATATCCTAACCTCCTCTGGGTGGCATAATGATTGTTGGTGATGAACAACTATGCAGGTATAGTTACTTCCTAGTAGAACAATGAATATATAACTTCTTCTATTTCACTCTTCCTCCCTCATTCCCTCCTCTCTCTCTCCCTCTCATTTACCTCCCCCCCTCTCTCTCCCCTAACCCCCTCTCTCTCCCTCCCTCCTCTCTCCCCCCTCCCTCCCTCCTTCCCTCCCATACTGTTGTGACCGAAACGCGTGAAAGGCAACCACGGCAAAATTCTCAGAAGTATATTTTACAATTTGAATAAAACTGAACAGAACATTCACAGAACTGGAAACAGATTAAAAGCATGCACTTATATAAACAGTTACTGATTACATAACAGAACATAAACATTAATTAACACATAGTTACATCATCATTGCATAATCATAAATCATAATAATAACAAAGAACTGAAATGCCTAGCAGTAAAGAAAGTAATAATAATAGAAATAATAATCACTATAATACATAATAATAATAATAATAATAATAATAATACTAATACAACGAAAGTAATAATCCTAACAATATAACACCCCTCCCCCTTTAAGCTTAACATACAAATGGTCCATGATCAACTTGAGTCCTTGAACGTGTTGAACGACGGAGTGGAACGGTAGCAGGGGGCGGTACTGGTAAAGGAGGGCCTGGAGGAGGAATTACATCATTAGCAA